AATCCACCATGGATGGTTGAGTGACGTTTATGGGTTCCACAAGACTAAGTATCACTTTCTGAGAATTACAAATTAAATCTTCATAAAGGGGGGCCAAAAAGCTGTCTTGAGCTATTGTGTAGATGAAACGCCATAGATAGACAACCCTAAATTCGGGTTAGGTATTATCTGGCCCACCGAAAATCTGGTCCGCGGACCAGTTAATAACTTTTTTAAATACTAGTCTTCATCTCGTCCGAAGGTCCGGGCCAGATAATACCTGTAAAATCACTAGGGTATAACTCGCCCAATCTATAGTGAGATTTAACAATCTGTTCTTAGTTAAAGGATTCGTGATAAATTGTTAGTTAAACAGCCAAATTCAAATTTCAAGCCCTTAAAATTTTAAACTAGGTAATGACTTAGTGCATCTAAAAAGTGGAAAAAAAAAGGTATGTTCACGGTCTATTTTTTTATACCATTGAATATTTAAAATTTAAAACAAGCAACCTTTTTATGTTTCAACTGTTTCATAAAGATTTCAATGAGAGTTTTTGATAGACTTTTTGATGTCAATTATTGCATATTCTTTTAGCTGTCGAACGAATTTACTTTACTTTTATGCTTATAGGTCCTGTACATCGGAAGATATTGATAAATTAATTAATACACCCAGACACAGAAACCAGAAAACTGCAATTTTTAAAATTAGGCCCTNATCAAGTTGCTCGCTCTTCTACCTTTTTTGGGTGAAACATTTCTGAGGATGTGTTGGAGCGTTTCCCAAATGCACCATGGATGGTTGAGTGACCAAAAAGCTGTCTTGAGCTATTGGGTAGATGAAACACCATAGATAGACAATAAATTCTATGAACATCTATAAAGGTTAGTATTTACTAGAGCATTATCTCGAGCATTTCTATGTAATGTAACGTTCTTACAAATGGTTCAATACAGGAAAAATTTACGACGTTTGGTTCTTGAAAGGGTGATACAGTTCATACAGTAGAAAATTAATAAATCATAGAGCGGCTCGTTGTTCTTTTACACGTAAATGCTCCACCTAATCTATACTCAACTTAAGGAATATGCTTCATTCTAGGCCTGATAAATAAATACTTTTCAATTTACTGTAAATACAGCAAAAAATATGTGTAAATATGAAAATTTGTTACACGTTCGTCTTTGTTATTTTGAAGGTCAACAAGGCCACCACTTTGTTATGATGCATGCAGTTTCGTTTTGCAAGAAAGAAATATACATTTATTACAACATGCAACGCAACGTGTTTTGCGCAACATGTTTGTTCGTAGATTGCCCAAGTTACTGTCAAATTATAGCAAGCCACTCCATAGACCTCTGAAAGACTTCTATGTACATGCCTTTTTTGCGAGAAGTCTCATTCATACGTAATTGTAGTATTTAAGTAAATGCTTATTGAAGACGTACATCATATCCGTAAAATGGTACCTATCACTGTTACGTTACAACTCGGTTACGTATTATATTTCTGACGTGTTGTTTGCCAGAGAAAAAATTAAAAATGATATTTCTCAAGGTTATTATTTTAAAATTTCTTTGATTTTTAGTCAAGCTCTCTACTGCTTCGAGTTAATACTGGTGTTTCCACTTTGTTTAGGATCTAATGAATTAACAACACAACAGGATTAAGAACACCATATAGTTTTGTTATGAAAATGCTCGGAGCACGTTTTCTCTCTAGGGATTTTATTAGTACAGAAGTATATGCACACGCGTACCTGTGCCATGGCAACACAAATCGGCTTGCTTATTTATTTCCGCAGAGAACCCCAAAGTCAAGGTACCATTAGTTTCAATTTCATTGCCCCCTGGGAGTGCTAAGACTAGACACCGTAAAGTCTATGTTACATTTGGATTAATTAATAAAAATTTAAATAAAATAAAATGTAGACTAGTTCTTTATGTGAACTATTGTGAACTAAACATAATGCTGCTTTTACACTATGCGGAAATTAGCCGAGTCAAGTCAAAAAAACAGAGGAGTGGGGATGAAATTCATTCATAATTCATCCCCACTCCTCAGTTTTTTTGACTTGACTTGGCTAATTTCCGCGCAGTGTAAACGCAGCATAAAATATTTACAAAGTCATGGTTTCAATGTAATGATGAACATCTTTTTGTTACTGATTCATGACAACAACGATATTCCGCGGGTACAAAAACGGAAAACAGATTTTTCAGTACGTAGTTTTTTAACGATATCTATTCGTTTCGTGACTCAGGCGATATTCTATTAGATTTACCAAATATATAACCTTTGAAACTCCATACTTGTAGAATTTCTGTATCATCCGCCCATCGTACCGGTAACAAGTAATGAAGATCTAATAACGTACGCGGGGCGAACACCCACCGCACACATTTCTATTGATCCAATCTGTTGCCATAACGAATGCTATTATGGCGGTAAAATTTCACTCGACTCTCAAATGGTTAAACTGTTCCGTGATTTTTCTCTTTTTTTAATACTTGTAGTTTTTCTTTTCAAAATGTTATCATGTTATCGTCAAGAATAAGAGCGGTATTTACAGATTTTTTTTAAAGATTCCACGGGGGCGTGGCGCTAAAACGTTCCGATTCCTGTAATACGAGGTTTTTAGCAACAGTAAATTTAATTATTAACTGGTAATACGTTCTATTCAGAAGAACGGTAGTACCAAATACACCATTTAAACAAGTTAACAATACGAGTATAGAAAACAACATAAATCAGTTGCAATTATTTTCACTAAAGTCTGAGTTTAGACATTCTACGAGTAATAAACTACTCCAAGTTTTAGTCTGTGTTGCTAGCTGTTAGTCTGTCACATTGAGAACATTTGCGGAGTAGAGACAGGATCTTTAAAAGTTATGAATGAAAGTAAATATACTTCGTAAAGTAACTACATAATTGACACGCTTAAATTGTTGAGTTGAAACCAATATTAGGCACCCGAAATAAGACGCAAAAACGATCCGTGGTGTAGCGCTCACGTGCCGACCTATATCGCCGTGGAATGTTGATTGCGTCTCTCGTAAGAGCTGTAAACGTGATACAAATATTTTGTTTTGTTTGCCTAATTACATAATGTTGATCTTCATGTGTTAAAAACAAGAGATAGAGACAGTTTTATTTATTTGAAATTGAAATGTATTATGATATGCCCAACTCACAAGGGGTAATTATTTAATTCAGGTACACGCGTGTTAGGCCAGTAGAATTATAATTAAAATCGGATTTACTCTACAAAAGTTTTTATTGGCTTCATTTGTTGCACAATATGACTATTCTATCTTCTAAGTCCCCCGGCGGAGTTGTGCTTATGGTGGGGGCTGAAAATGTGTCGCAAAAGGGGTACCTAAATAATAAGCCTACGAAAAAGAAAAACCTAATTTATGGTGGTTTTATGTTATTATGAGTGTAATCAAAACAATACATTTCATGCTTATTTATTTAGCGTAATGTATTTTACTTGTAAATTGTGAATATTACACTGGGGAACAGTCAATTTGCGGCATGGTAGTTAGAGTCAATTCTGTATGCGACTAGTGTGCTGAATACTAGAAAAATATTAGATTTGTCAAATTGACTCTAGATCTTGAGATAAATACTATTAACTATTTATATGAAAAAACCGAAATAAAAATACCAATCTGTATAAAAAAATATTTACACTAAGATCCTATTTAAGAACGATATAAAAATTAAAAATATATTTACTTTTCGTCAAACAATAGAAAAAAAACTACAAAAAGCTTTTTCTGTAAGCTTTTATGTTATGCTTTTGGTCAGGAAAATTCCATAATTATGGCAACAGTAATCAGCCATCATCTGGCGGTCCCATTGACCGTGGATATCTTTCTTCCACTATCCTGATGTTCTGGTAGAACCGTTCTGCGTATTCCTCACTGTAATCACCCAGATTATGGGAGAACCTGTCCAAATGGTTATTGTAAAAAAAATAATTTAATACTCAAATTAGCTCCTTATGTGTAAAACTTTTAAAACAATTTAGCAACCAATTCTGAAAAGTCTGGTGCTCTATGACTCCCCAAATATTGTTTGACTACTAAAACAAAGCTTAGCCATGCTTCAGATTCAATTTGTGTTATGTGGTTTACAAATACAGTGTCTTTATAAGAGTACGGATTTGCGGTCAGTCGAATTTATTTTTTCCGTATTCAAATGAACGTTTCAGGACGTAAAGGACTTTAATTTGGCTGACTTTTGATCATTTTAGTGATAAGAAAGCTCAGTTCCTAGCTTTAGCCTTCCAAATTGAAGTCCTTTACGTCCAGCTTGGCTCCAGTATGGCAAAGAGTCTACACAAGGCTTGCAGACGATATTGGACCCCTAATATTTATTATTTTATGGAAGTTTTATACCAAAGTATGCTTGGGTTTTTATAACTACCTTCGTGATCTTATTTCTTTGCTTTTGTAAGTTTACAAGCCAAATATTAACAAAAACTGTTGGGGTTGTAAACTTAAAGTTTTCATAATGAACTCATATTTTTTGAGACAAAAAGCTCTTCAAAAATTAATTTAACAGACACAAACTGATAATTTCAAGATCTAGTAGCTGATTACTAAATTGTTGTGACTACAACTACACTAATACATGAGTAGAAAATAAAACTTAGTGGGGTATAATCAAATTAATATAAGTTTAGGGAGAGTCGTTTAATTTTTTTCATTGATTTCTTGCGTCTCGTTTATCTCAAGAACCAGAGTCAATCCAAAGAAAGTAAATGCACACCATTTATGTCTAATACATTATGTGTTTACAAAAACCATTAACAAAATAGATGCCGCAGATTTTTTTATTTTTTTTTGTTCCGCAGTGTTATTGTTTATTTGTTTCGTTTCACTACCGGAACTGTTGAAGATAGGTTCTTACCAATTATCTCATTTTATTATTATTTATGAACGTTTCAGGATTTTTTTCTGACGCACCATAGAGATTTGTAGTATTTACATTTTTTTTTCTTTGTCTCCAGGTGAATGAATTCATCACGCGAGAACCTAAAGCGGCCCCATCGCGCCGCCTAGCCGCCTGATAAAACGTAAGTACATACATACATACATACACAAATAACTCGCAGAATTATTATTATACATGTGGGACACTATGGCTGCACGCTGCACGCGGCCCACAGGTGGGACACAAGGGCTGCACGCGGCCCACAGGTGGGACACTAGGGCTGCACGCTGCACGCGGCCCACAGGTGAGACACTGGGGCTCATAAAGAAATCTAATCCTTGTTTTACAGCTAAACAAATCACAGATCACACTTAAAATTTGGTATACTTGATGCTACTAAGTATGACTTTTTTATTGTCATTTCTATTCTACTAACCGTAAAATTAATCTTTGTCTAAAATAGCACGCGTTCTCGATTCATGGTTCAAAGTTCAAAGGTTACCGTCATTCCTAGACTTCAAATAAATAGAAGAATTCGTCTTTTCCAACTTTTTCCTCCAAATTCTTTCCATGGCTCGACGGTTTTATTTAAGTGCAATGAAAACAGACGCAGTAAGTATAAAGCCTTAGCAGGTCTGTGTGTATCTAATCAGATTTCAGAGCTCTTACTTAAGTAAGTACTTGTACATACAAACATTTCAGACCTATACAACTCCTTTTGATTTCCTGGAACTAGGGTATTAATAAGACTACTTCAAAACTGTGAGCTTATTATTTTTGGTTCCTTTATTCGAAAGAATCTTAAGAAAGGACCTCGTTTAAGTAATGAGATTTCGACTGGAGTGAGTATGGCAACGAAATATTGTACTTTTAGCTAGCAATAAAATTCAAATTCATATATGAGTTTCTACCGATGGCATAGGAATTCAATACGGTTTGCGTGATTTCGTATGCGAATTTAAACTCCCATGCCTCGCCGTCGCGGCGTCGTCGTCCATGCCATTTGGGATCTTCTGTGCCTTCTTTAGTTATAGTTCAACTGGGCGAATTGTTTACGTCCATGAGATAGCTGTGTCGTGAGATCACTCATAGTACGCCCACGATACATGCCTTGAGCCTTGAACATTTTACAGATTACGGATGTTCTTTTCACGCAAGTGTCACAGAAATGTGAAAATTTCACCTATCTAGCTATCACTGTTCTGTTGCGCTATGCTAGCGGTGACAAACAAACAGACAGTGGAGTCTTAGTAATAGGGTTCTGTTTTATCATTTGGGTACGGTACCCTAAAATGACTGTTGGAGTAATGCTTGCCACTTGCCACATGCGGCCCCATCAATCACCGTTGACATGTTATTGTGTTAGTATGGACTATGGACCGGTGTCTGTGTGATCCAGCTTCTACTGTACAATCCGATCGAGCTAACTGCGCATCTCGCTGGAATGCGCTTCACCTCCCACTTACCCGCACACCTCTCCGCGTTCGCCCCGTTCCCGTAAGGCCTCAGCCTCGAACTTAGCGGGCAGCGGGGCGGCGGCGGCGGCGGCGCGGGAGCGGCAGGATCTTATGCGTAAAATCAAATGGACCGGTTCTCGAAAACAGCGGCGCGGCAGCGGGGCGGCAGCGGGCAACGAGCGGGCAGCGGCGAGGGAGCGGGCATCGAGCGGGGAGCGCACTCCTTCTTTTGCCCACAATAAATCGAGCGTTAGGAATAAATTTGAATCGAAATAAAATTGTCGCCGTTGTTCAGACATTTCGTTTGCGAATAAAAACAAATATCTCGACAACACAACCTCGAACACAACACTTCGCCGCTAAAGCGCCGCGCGAGCTGCCCGCTGGTTTCGAAAACGGGTCTGCGTTACCCGCCCCGCTCCCGCGCCGCCGCCGCCGCCGCCCCGCTGCCCGCTAAGTTCGAGGCTGAGGCCTAACAGAGCGTGGATGTGACGTCACGGCTGCCAGGTGCGTAGTTAACTTGACCGGAATGTACAACAACAACAGTCGTACATTATGTCATGTACAGTTGAAATTACAAAAAACACGGCATTTAAAGGTTCAAACAAAAATTTTTGATTAATATTTTCTAATGCTTATAATATTAGGTAGGTACCTACTTACTTACCTACTAATGATTAACGTGAAATAACACCAAAATTATCTCGGAAAATCGTAATTAATTTTCTATTGGACGTCTACAATTTTGGTTCGTCGAGTTCATGGTCGCTATATTTAGGCAAAGTTTTCCTTTTGCAAATTAGAATAAGTAGGTATGTACATCTAAGTTTGATTCCATGAGAAATTCAAGATGGTAATGAATTCCTAAAAACCTTCCTGGAATAGTGTTGGTGTTAACGAAAAATCTCGAAAGTAGCTCGGGAATCTTGATAATTTAATATTTCAGTCGGATTACCACATTTACCACCTACGCAGAGGTGAGCGGGAGCTACGCTTACATACAAATATCATTATTTTGAAGAGCCCGGGGTAGGTACAGCACATCAGGTTAACCATTTTTGTTGCAAACTCGCCCCTATTACAACTGCACAAGAACCCACAGTGGTTAACTTGACGTGCCGTCGTCTGTACTTCGCGAACGCGATTCAATTATACCGTTACAGGGCGACCTTTTAACTCGCACTTAGTTAACGAGAAAGATTGCCATGGAAACCAGCCACTTGCCTGTCGCGGGCACGTAAAGCTTTACAGTGGCATGAATGTAATGTAGTGTTAATTGGTTGTTAATTTTGCAGTAAAACAATGAACATAATGTGTCTGTACATGTATTTATATTTAGTGGACTCAACTCTAACCTAAGGGAATAAAAAATGCACCGCTGCCTGTGGCCGTCGCTCCTATGCGTCATCAATATCTTTGAGATAATGTTATTTTTATCGCTAAATCTCGATAACGGTGTTTGATAAATATATTTTTTTCGCTATGCATAACGTGCTGAAAGAAATGTAGGGTTTTTTTTTCTATAATTTGTCTCTAACCCTGTTGGACCCTAAATTTAAATTCTCTTTAGGTAAGGAACCCTAAAAATAAGCGTAAAATAAATCACTTCTCGTCAACGATATATTCAATATCCTTGCCTTGCGTCCTTACTTTCGTTAGCATTGTACAACTAATTTTGAAATCGAAAGATGACGTCGAAATCGAAACTAAATCTGTTCAAACACCACGTCCTAATTTCCACGAAAATAAGTTTTACCGACAAGTAATTAACGCCCTCGGAAACGGTAGTAGCTGCGTAATCCCAATGTTAAACATAAGCGGCGTAATTAAACAGTAAATTAATCTGAAGGAGTCGAAGAGTGCCCGCCCGAGCGCGAAAGACGTACGAGTATTGCTAATCCGATTATGAATAAACGAGTACTTTTGAGCATCGATATTTTGATCCCGTTTCACACCAGGTTACCAAAGTAGCGCTACCGATCTTCTTGTGGTGGAAATCTGTAAAACTCCATACTAAAAACATCGGTTATCGTTATAGTTACAAAGTTAGGTGGTGCAACTCAGCCTTAATTTTTCATCAAATACCATGCTTCTTCCCGCAACTTTACTCACCTTTCGCGCGAAAAAAACCACTTGATTTCTTCATCATCATCATCATTTCAGCCACAGGACGTCCACTGCGGAACATAGGCCTCCCCCAATGACTTCCACATCGCACGGTTCGTAGCGGCCTGCATCCAGCGCCTTCCTGCTACCTTTATCAGGTCGTCGGTTGATTGATTTCTTATTAAAACATTTTTCCTAATCAAATACTGTGATGGACGAATTCCAATTTTCGAAACCATGCCCTGGGGCTACTCCCTTATGGCTTAAATTAGGTATTTTTCAACAATAAAGTTTTACACGGGTACAAACTTCAAAGTGAAATGGAAGCTGTCCTAATTACACAATACTTTCTTGATTAGGTTAATTACTTTTTCAACATCCTACGCCCTTATTAGCGCTAACAGGCGGCAGGAGCTTTGTATGTGTATTTTTTTTTTAATTTTTATTTAGAAACCAACGGCGCGGCTGCGTTACAATGAGTAAATCTTAAAGTAACTTAATTATAAGTATGGCTAATTATTATAGGTTTCCCTAGAATAACCTTAAAGTAAATCTACCGTTCGGATTACCGAGACGCAAACTCCAAAAGATGAAACCTAGAACATTACAAATAACTTACTTACATAATATTATTATGAGAAGTAAAAATACACATTTAGATATATTTGACACCCTATAAAGTTGAGCTACATTTGTCGATTTAAGATTAAGTAAACTAAACCATTTCTAAAAACACACATTATCACAATAATGTAGTCTATTGAATCAAATTAATACACAACACTAGCTTTTCTGAAAAAGGAATACAGGCAGATTTATCATTGACATTTTTTTTTACACTACACTGGACCTCAAAGAAAAAGGGCTGGTTAGAAAATCTTTTACATTTTCGAAAGTATGTCCCTGAAACTTTTCATTAACAATAAAAGCGATTGGTATTTTATTAAATACATAAAAATAGGTCAGGTACTTTTGAAGATATTGAAGATCCTAACCGACCCTTTTTCTTTGCAGTCCAGTGTATAATTGATCATTTCTAAGGCTGGGCTGCACCATCTTACGGGTATTCGTTACGGTTAAAGTAAGGTGGTGCAACTCAATTTAAGGAAAGCAAGCAGAAAATAAAGCCCGTATTCACAAACATTACCATGAGGTCTCACAGTGCTCGTGGACGCTCAGGGTGACACACGAACCAATCACAGAGCTCTATTCAACGCAGTGCGTTCGATTTGCTGCTTCACTTAAGGAAGCATCGTTTGTTAATACGGGAGTAAATAACACACCTTGAGTGTTCCCTTCGCAATAACGCCCGGCTGATTGAGCCGGCCCAGCGGGGCTACTCCGAAAAACGTTATCCGAAGTTTCGAATGTTGCCAATTGCCATCCCTCTCACGCAAAGCGAGATGCTATCACGAGCGACGGTGACAGACAGAGCCGAAACTACGTAAATAGCGTTTCGTAGTAGCCCTCCAGGCAGGCCCGGTGTCGGAACCTCGCCGCTTCCGGCCGGGTACACAAACCACCGCTCTCCCGGATATTGCTGTTTTGCGAGCCTGAAATCGAATTTCCTCACTTGAGA